CCCCCCCCCCCCCCCCCCCATTCGTTAATCACACGATCCCATGTGATTAACACATGCTACTGTGCAGCCGGTAAATTGCATTGTCATTTATTTGACGGGCACCGCAAATGCACCTCCCGGACTAAATAAATTTGATCGCACCGCAACGCATTGTACCGCGATAGTTGCGGTGTGGTGGAAAAAAAAGTAGTGCATGCTACACATCTCACCGCTCGGCGCCCTGGTTGGTAAGAGCTGGACGGGGGGAAATGTGTATGGGAGAGGGGTGGGGAAAGAAGAAGGAAGAAAAAAAAAAAAAAGAGCCAGAGGGGAGGAAAAAGGGAAAAACAAAACATTTCAAGCTGGGCCGGGGTTCCCCTACTGATCGTTTAGGGTTGCCACCTTTACTTTCAGCGAAACCCGAACAATGGAAATTTTTGGGGGAGAATGAGTCGTGGCTTATTCATATGTAAATTGGGCCACCCATTCATATCTAAATATCACAGTTGAGACTATTTTCAGGGGGGGGGGCCAGTAGCCCCTATCTTAATTTCGGTTGCCCCTGTCTGCCTGACATCATGTGTCTGGGTTTCGGCTGCCATGAAACCCGAACACAGCGTTCAAAACCCGGACTGTCCAGGTGAATCCTGGACAGGAGGCAACCCTAGACCCGATGGGGCCTGGGCCGCTACTGGAGGGCTGGCTGTACGCCCCCGAATTTGGTGACCGTGGCTGTATTATAAGAGACCCCACGCAGGAGTGTTCTGTGTTGAGAGCAAAGCCCTTCAAAGCCATCATTGTTTGTTGAAGGATAGGCCTGCTGTACATTTAAACTTGGCTATGCACGGCGGTCAGAACAACTCAAAGCAGATAAAATGCCGGAATATGGGAATATTTGTTACAGTTATGTTATCAGTCTGCGATAGATTATTAGAAGATGACAGGAGAACGGAAAAAGCTATTTTCCTGGAAAGAAAATGTTACCCCAGACTTCCTTCACCATTGGTCACATGACTAGGCCAAGACGTCTTCTAAAGTGGAGCGTCTGATCATTCCCCGCGATTTTATTTATTTATTGCAGGTATTTATAGAGCGCCGACAATTTACGCAGCACTTTACATAGTTCTACATTCACATCAGTCCCCCGCCCTCAAGGAGCTTACAATCTAAGGTCCCTATCTTAGAGGAGCCAATTAACCTTCCAGCATGTCTTTGGAGTGTAGGGTTGCCACCTTTTCTTCAAGCGAAACCCGAACACTCTAGTAGCCCCTATCTTAATTTTGGTTGCCGCCGTCTGCCTGACATCTTTCTGCTGCCATGAAACCCGGACACAGCATTCAAAACCCGAACTGTCCGGGTGAATCCTGGACAGGTGGCAAGCCTATTGGAGTGTGGGAGGAAACCGGAGTGCCCGGAGAAAACCCACGCAAGCACAGGGAGAGCATGCAAACTCCTTGCAGTAACCTGGCCGGGATTTGAACCAGGGACTCCCAGTGCTACAAGGCAGACGTGCTAACCACTACGCCACTGTGATCCCAAGATCTAAAACCCGTCTGATTCGTTACATATCTTATTTGTGTTTTTTACTTTTTTTAGCTGAAAATCAGCAGCCTCTACATTCAGTCGACCATAGTATCCCGCTATGCCCATACCAAGGTGCAAACTCTTATGGTCAATCCTCACGCCGAGTCCAAGGAAGCCATCTTTGAGTTGGAGCTGCCCAGTTCTGCCTTCATATCTAACTTCACACTGTAAGTAAATTCTAACTCATTTTATAACAAAAATATTATAAATTCACAATTGTTGAATACTGAGCTTAGGGTGACGGGAGGACGCTAGTTTGTGTCCTCCCGTTACCCTAAGGAGAACTATGGGGGAAAGCCCTGACCTCGTAGTTCTCCTTTAATTATGTTTTAGTATTACTCTGCTGCATTTTTTCATCAGGAGAATTTCTGCAGTGGTCTAATATGGCGATTATAATGTTCAGGACTGGAAAAAATACTGTTCTTTATTTCCTTTTGCTCAGTTGTAATAAAAAATGGCAAATAAATATTATTTACCACTTGCAGGCAGCAGGTGGTGTGCTCGAGTCATTTACTGCTATGCTGTGACTAGCCAGTGTTACGTTATCTCTTCCTATTAAAGGAAAACTATGAGGCGAGTGAATATCACTCATCCTCATAGTTCAAGCCTACCTGTGACAATGAGTCACACGTCGGCTGAATAGATCAGGAAGTGAGAGAACACATACTGTCGCTCGCTCACTTCTCGATCTATCCCCGCAGAAAGTGGTGACTGTCACTCACGGCTCCCTGTAGGGATTCCCCTCCTCCCCTGTCCGATCCTCCAGCGCTGACTAGATAGGCAGAGCCAGCTGTCAGTCATGCAGCTGGGTGGATCTCGACAGTAATGTCGGGATCCGCTCCGGCTGCGGTGGTCTCAGTATACCGCGAGCTGCAGCTCCCTATATACTGAGCTTAGGGTGACGGGAGGACGCTAGTTTGTGTCCTCCCGTTACCCTTAGGAGAACTATGGGGAAAAGCCCTGACCCCATAGTTCTCCTTTAAGGTCTAATCACAAGACAAAGCTGCATGAGTCAAAGCGGGTAACGCGCCCCTCTCTTTTTGCATGCTAGCTCATAGAGAGCCGCGTGAATTTTCAGGTGGATAGAGGAAGTGGCGGTCACAGTCTTCTGTTCTTCCTTTATGGTCCAGTCACATGATGGAGGCAGGGAGGTGACCAAGCTGTATTTCTTAAATATAGGTCGTGTCCTGGTCGGGATTCGAGCTGAGGACCCCAGTACTGCAGGGCAAAAGTGTTGTCTGAACTAGGGACGAAGCAGGTTTGGGTCAAACTTGAGTTCGCCCAACCTGGAAAGAAGCTGTCAATGGCGGCCCAATGAGCTGGGGCATTCCCCACCCCGCTGCTGCAGGTAAATAAAAGGGGTGGGATGCTGGTGCCATCATTGACCTTATATGGCCACATGGTCATATTTGGTCAACAACATTCACGACCTAATATGGCCATAACGTGTCCAATTATGTCTCCAGCATCTCACCCCTCCATATGACCATATTTGGTCAATGACGCTGACCCATCATCAGCATTCCCGCCCCTTAGCTTACGTGCCACTTGAGGGTTGGGTATGCCCCAGCCGCTGCTGATTGGTCCGCCGCTGACAGCTTCTTTTCCGATTCGGACGAATGATGAGCTCATCGTTGAACGCGCTGACCCCTGCCAAACCTTAGTGGTTTTTCCGGAATACAAACCCGAAGCGAAAAAAAACACCTTTAAATATATTTTAATCCTCAGGGAGGATGTGTGCAGCAATGGCTAACTCCCTTGATGTTTTGGTCGGAGTGTAGTATGCCCGTCTCTCTAAGTAATTACAAGATGGAAGGCTTTAACAGATGAGGCTGCTGCCTTTTTTCATACACTTCTGCTTTTGTTGGCTCCAGAAAAATAATTCAGAAATAACCCGGGGCTTTGAAGTAAGGTTTGGAAAATAACCAAGGATACACAGAAGCGGGGGAGGGGGAGGGGGGGGGGAATAACTGGTGCAAAGCATCCGAGCACACACAGTTCCCTGTCACAAGGAAAGGTTTTGTCACTCAAGCCAAGTTAATCTTGGCCAACCCCTGTCCTCCTCAAGTTTATGCTGGCCTGGCGTCTATGCGTGTCTCTCTTAAACTTCAGCTTGCCTGGAGACCTGGAAACAGAGGAGAAGCTGTTTCCGTCCCTTGGGATTTTTTTTTTCTCCTTAAAAAAAAAAAAAAAAAGGAAAGCAAGACTCAACATTATTTGTCCAAAGTAGAAGTTTTTTGTTGTTGTTGTTTTTCTTTGATTTGAAGTCAGGGACATTAGCAATTGGAGGTGTTTGTGTCCTCAAGTCCATCGCTAATTAATTCTTCCAACCTTTCCTTCAAAATGGAAGGAGATCAGCTGAGTTCAGAACAGAGTGTGCTAGAATGTGAATGACAAGCGGCGGGAAGAAGGATTTTCCTTTTCATCGGAGGCAATGCTTTCAAAAGGCCGAGCTCAATACACAATAAAGCAAATGCCGTATTTTGCCGGGCGTATAAGACGACCCCCTCATTTTTCTGTTAAAACATAGGTTTTGGGCTATACTCGTCGTATAAGAGGAGTATAGCCCAAAATAAGGTTTAAATGCCCCCACTAACCTCCATGGCGGTATTCCTGATTGTGGCTCGGGGGTTAATTTTCAGTTAGCCTCTTGCCGTCCGCCCGTAGTAGAAAAACGGACGGACGGCACTGCTGCATTGCCGGGTTGCCGTCGCCAGACGGACAGTGCGTCCCTGCACCTTATTAGGAGTAGGCTACCTCCAGGTACACCTGCATGCAATCTATCGACTTCATTAATATGCTCACACTTGGAGACTCGGATACATAGAGTTAGGACCACACTTTGCAGAGGTGCCTTGGCGCGGCAGTGTGGCTTCTACATATTTTTGGCCAAAAGTTTGTGCAACTAAAACCTCTGATTTTAACGCACACTGTTGACAGGGCTACTTGATACCCGCTGTGTCCTCCGTCTTCCGTCCCTTGCAAAATTTTTGAGAAAAGCCTTAACCCCCCTAGTTCTCCTTTAACACTCGTGATTACAGCGTAGCGTCTCTTACCTTGTCCACGATACCCGCTGTGTCCTCCGTCTTCCGTCCCTTGCAAGCGTCCGCGTCGAAGGGGGGCGGAACCGGCGGGCACTTTAAAAGTTAAAAAAATAGAACAAAAAAGGGAAAAAAAATAAAAAATAATCAGACTGCCAGGGAGGCTAATCTGTCAGCCCGCTGGATGTGCGGTAACACTGTATGCACGATAGCTTCGGCTACATACAGTATACCGCGCTGAGCCAATCACGGCGAGCGATGTATTCTATTAATGAATACAAAGCCTGCTCGGATTGGCAGAGGTTGTGTACATTTTTTTTAATAAGAGAAACCATGATGGTGATCTGCATATTGTATGTAATTCCCAGATGAGTATTTCTCACACTATTGTGGACCTGGCCCCTTTAAGGGAACCTTGATGTTGGGCCGGGGTTAACCAGAGACTGATGGGACGTGAGTTCTGCACCTAGGATCACATCATCTCATACCGGTTTCTTGAACATGACATTGAGTTCACTAAAACACTTTCAGGTCCGAGAAAGCCTCCCCTCAGCCCCTATAGGACAAGATTGGGAGGACGTGTCCTCAAAAATGATTTTCTGTTCTTGTCCGCCCCTAGTGGTGGGTTCTGTTGATTCTGAGAAGGAGGAATGTGTACCTCTCCATGTTCACCTTAACTCTTCCCCTGGGCGATAACTTTTTATCTTCTGGAGCGTTTTGGGGGTGGGGAAGGCAGTGGGATGGAGATTTTCTCTGCCTTGGCAGGCAGTAGAAGGTCTGACTTGCTTGGATTTTGCCTCGTCGAGTTTCTTACCAAACAGCGACCGTCCTCCGTGTGGGATTTTAAACCAGGACTGCTTGAAACCCGGGTCAGCAATCCAAGTACCAAACCATAGGGCCATTCAGCTGTGACTAAGTATAGCATGGCACGAGAAGAGGTTCGAAGAATATCAATTGCTGTCACACCTATAGAAGAAGAAAGTTTAAACTCTTCTAGAGAGGCCACTATGTCCTCGTCTGTCCCTGATTGGATTGCCGTTTCCACATTATCCACTGAGGCACTCACCACCGTCAACGCCACGGCAGGATGGCGTGCACCCACTGATGCCAAGTTTGCCTTTTTATTATGAGATTGATTCTGTGGTCTAAACCTCATCCCTACTAATGACAATATGATATAGTGACTGCCAAATGGTAGGAAAGCCTTTTCAAGTGGATGTCATAATTTGTAGTTGGAAAACACTCGGGATTCCCTAATTAAAACACTGTTTTCCTGCAGCACAGTGAACGGTAAGACGCATGTAGCAGAAGTCAAGGAGAAACATCAGGCTAAGAAGATGTACGATGAGGCAAGGCGACAGGGGAAGACCACAGCCCACGTAGGAACGAGGTAAGCACCTTCGTTGCTTAGGACCCTGTATCATGTCATACAACCCTGATATGAATCATACCCAACTTGACAATTTATTCAATAAAGATATCCTATTCTTAATTGGCAATTATTTAAGTAGATGTAAACCCTAAGGCCCCGTTCACACTTAGCGATTTATCACGCGGTAATTCCCGCGATATCGCGGCAATTTACCGCGCGATATCGCTCTCCAGTGCTTCTCAATGGGGCAAAGGGTCCTGCTGTCGCGGGTCGTGCGTTGCTACAGCAGGACCCTTTTTGGAGCGGATTTAGCCGCGATTCAAGCTTGCTCAATGCAAGCATTTGCGCGATATCGCGCGATATCGTGCAAAATGCAAATCGCACGACAAGCGCGCGATTTGCGAATCGCGCAGTGTGAATGGGGCCTAAACCTTCCCATAGATGGCACGAATTTCAGCCCATGGACTGAGCGAGAGTAACCTAATATGTGTACGATGGTCTTAACTGGATGACATTAAGCCTAGGGCTACACTGGTGATTAATTATCTCGGATACTGAGAGATTAACATGCTGGCTGATAGTTAGCTCATTAGCATCATGTTGATTACAGAATTCTGCCTATGAGATGCTTGACAACATTCAGTTAAATCTCTCAGTAGTGTCAGATGCACATGATTACTCAGGGACCTTACCTTCAGAATGTGTGTCCACATGACCAGGGCCGGATTTCCCACAAGGCCAACCAAGGCCCGGCATTGGGGCAGCAGGGAGAAGAGGGGCAGCAGGAGCGTGGAATTCCTATCTCCCGATGTCCGGGACATGCAGTTCCGGGCATCGGGGGGAGCCACTCGTTGTCTCCACCAGGGTGACAACACAGGACCACAAATGGGAGGCAGTTGACACCCCATAACAGAAGGGGCCTTAACTTGGAACCTCATGGCAGGATCACCATCATTCTTTGAATAAAGGCTGAAAACCTTTTGTAAAATAGCATTGCCATGTTACAGCGTGTTTATATGGCGTTATACTGATTGGGATTAGATCTACTAGAAGAGCAGTAAGCCATATCAGCCAATCAATCCCCACCATGTACCGGTTTGACATTAACACAGCGAATGCTTTGAGAGTTCTCTCCAATCCAGTTGGCCAATCCCAATTCTGGGCAAGCTGCGCTAACAAGAGATGTTAATAGTTGATGGGAGATCTACTGAATATACACTTTGGAATCACTGTGAGCCCCGGCATTGTTATTATTATTATTATACAGGATACAGGATTTATATAGCGCCAACAGTGTGCGCAGCGCTGTACAATATAAGGAAGACATTACAATCACAATACAATTCAAGACAAGATGGTAAGGAGAGGGGACGTTCATGCCCCCCACCCTGCCCTG